CTACTACTTCTATCATCAGTGGCGATTCATCTGCTACTGGTGGTGCATCTGCTTCTGACGGTGTATCTGCTACTGACGGATCATCTGTTACTGGTGGTGCATCTGCTTCTGACGGTGCATCTGTTACTGACGGATCATCTGCTACTGGCGGTGCTTCTGCTTCTAATGGTGCATCTGCTACTGACGGATCATCTACTTCTAAAGGTGCATCTGCTACTGACGGATCATCTGCTACTGGTGGTGCTTCTGCTTCTGACGATGAATCTGTTACTGACGGATCATCTGCTACTGGCGGTGCTTCTGCTTCTAACGGTGCATCTGCTTCTGACGGATCATCTACTTCTGACGGTCCATCTGCTACTGATGGCACAACTACAGCTGCTTGTCCATTGTGTACTAAGTACCCTACTACCATCACAACTACTGATGCTAATGGTGCAACTACTACTCAAACTGGCGACGTGATAGTGACGACAGATTCTAATGGTGATTATTCAACAAGTACTTCTATTATCAGCGGAGCTTCAAGAAGTTTAACAGGTTCTGCACAAGCTACACATTGTCCGACTTGCACTGAATACACTGGTGCTTCATTGTCTACTAATGGTGCTGGTTCAGTAGCTAGTGAGACTGGTGACAATGGAATTACCTCCAACCCTGAAGGCCAAGATGTAGCCTCCACTACGGATGCAAATAACGATGCATTGTCAACAGAAACTGTTAATATTGCTACAACCGTTATTACTGTTACGTCTTGCGAGAATAATGCATGTTCACAAGTCCCATTAACAACTGGGGTTAAATATGTTACTAAGGACGAGACAACTTACACCACATATTGCCCATTGACTGATGAGGTTGCCACTGAAACCCAAGTTGCTACACCTTCCACTGCTACCCTTACTTCGGCTGAAACTGGAACTGCTGTAATTACTGTTGTATCATGCGATGACACAAGTTGCTCTTACGTACCAACGACCACCGGTGCTAGCTATGACTACAACGATCAAACCACTCACACAACCTATTACCCATTATCTGACCAGGAAAGTACTGCTTCAAGCTCAAAATTACCAGAAACAGGATCTCCTAACACTTCAAGCTCAGAGAATGGCTCCGCAAAACCAATTACCCAAGAATCTGCATCACCTATAGCGGCCACTGTTTCGTCTAATGCCTCAGGTGCTTCCCAAACAGTTGCACCCGCCATCGTTTCTAACACAGTCAGCCCATCTTCCTCCTCCAACACCCCTGTAACTTCGTCTACATCTCCTGCTGTTTTCGAAGGTTCAGCCAGTGTCATCAAACCATGGACCTCATTTTCGTTGGTAGCTTTATGCGCTATCTTCTATTTCTAATGATTGGAAAATTTTTTTGATTATTTCTCGATACCCATATTTGACTTCTCCCGGATACCTTGTATTCTGTCTATTATATACATGCGCTTGCTTTGTTTAATTAATTTTACGTTATATTTAAAACCATACGTAGATTTGGAACCAGAGGCTCAGCTGAAATACCCTCGGTGAATGGGTGTGGTGCATGGGTGCATAACCTAATCGCAGATCGCACCCAAAATGGCTTTGACGTTATCCGTCAAAGGATCGGAGCATTGAAAAGTCGGATCGAAACAATGCTATCCATAGAATGACGCAATGGTCTTCACGGAAACAAAATAACATTCGTATTTCTTCATCACCCACTTTTGTCAATTCTACCTCCCGACGGAATCTTGCCTTGATATAATTGATGATATATGCCTCTTTTATGCCCACTCTTCCGTATCTTTCATATCGGGTCGTCATCGTCTGATGCAACCAACCTTATTCAATTTCCTTGTGACTCTCTGCGTTCGCGATATGCGATTCATTATTAGCACGTTGACAGGATTTCACATTGATTTTCGCACTGGCTTATACATCTGCCTGAAACAAACAGCTGATCCCCTACTATAATCTATATAATATATATCCTCTAACATGCAACCTATTGATCTACGAACACCCCACAATAGTGGTCTTAGTAATACAAATAATATATCACCTATATACACTATTAAAACCGACGCACCAACGTAAATCCTTTTGCCACCCATCGCTAATATTATCTCCGATAACTCCAGATTGCGAAATGGCATTGCGAACTAAGTATCTCCCCCATCAAAATGCCAGTACAACAGCTTGCCAGATATCTAAAAGATGCTTGATACTGAAGGCCATAGAATTCAAAACCATAACAGGGACTTACTGTCACTTGTCTGTTCTATTTCATATATATATCTCTGACGGATCTCGCTATCGTCTTCTGGAGGTAACGTTGGATGGTTCCGTTATCAACAGGAAGTTGTTACGTAAGCGGACAGGATACCAAAAAAAAAAAGGAGCCGTAGAATGTCTATTATAAATACAGCATAATTGGTCTTCAAATATTTGGGGTATAGGTATTTCGTAGAAAGGGTATATATAAAAGGGATCATTTGAATCGTCGTATACAAAAGATCATTAAAAGCAAGTACTAGGAATTATAAGACGTACTGACCGAGGGGATCGAAAAATTTTATTGAAGTACTTACGGTGATTGAAGCCTAATTTTCAGTTGACCAAAACACAAAGCAATATGGCGAATTACGAGAAGGATTCCCACAGCTTGGAATCCTTGGAATTGGAGCCTCAGAGAAGGTTACTATCGTTTATGTTGTCCAAAAAGGTACCGCCGTTACCGTTAGATGAAGAACGAAAGCTTTTTCCAGAAAAGAGGGTAAACATTCTATCGAGAATATTTTTTTTGTGGTTGTTTCCTGTGTTGAATACGGGATACAAGAGGACTTTGAAACCTGAAGACATGTTTAAGCTTACAGATGAGATTCGGATTGAGACGATGTACGCCAAATTTTCTAATATTTTGGAAGAGAGCTTGAAGAAAGCGAAACAGAAGCATATTTTGGAAAAGTGCAAGGAAAGAGGAGAAAACGTAGAGAACAGTTCTATAGACGAAGAAGACGATATGAAAGACTTCAAGCTTCCTAAACCGCTTACAGTTCTTGCTATTTTGAAGACATTTAAATGGCAATATCTTAAGGCGTGTTTTTATTTGGCATTGGCCAATGGTGGGATGACTGCGAACCCATTGCAAACAAAGAAATTAATTTCGTACGTGGAAATGAAGGCTCTTGGCTATGAAACAGGAATAGGCAAAGGTCTTGGATATTCGTTTGGTAGTGCAGGTGTTGTATTAGTGTCTGGTATTTTGATTAATCACTTTTTCTACAATTCAATGTTGACTGGTGCAGAGGCTAAAGCAGTGTTAACTAAGGCTATTTTAGACAAATCATTTAGAACTAATGCAGAAACAAAGCATAAATACCCAGCGGGTAAGGTAACTTCGATGATGGGAACTGATTTAGCAAGAATCGATTTCGCGATTGGATTTCAACCGTTCTTGTTTACGTTTCCAGTGCCTATTGCTATAGCTATTGGGATCTTGATTTATAATGTTGGTCCAACTGCTCTTGTGGGTATTGGATTATTATTTGTTTTTATGTTGGCAATTACCATTTCCACTAAGAAATTATTTGAATATAGATCTAAAGCCAATTCCTACACTGATTCTAGAGTTGATTATATTAAGGAAGTTTTGAATAACTTGAGAATTATTAAGTTTTATTCATGGGAGCCACCGTACCACGAAAACATTTCGAATATTAGAAGAGAAGAAATGAAAATCATTTATAGAATGCAAGTTCTTAGAAACATTATCGTATCTTTCGCTATGTCAATGACTCTCTTTTCATCATTGGTTACTTTCCTTGTTTTGTATGCTATTAAGTCAAATGACAGAGACCCAGCGTCTATTTTTTCGTCTATTTCGCTTTTTAACATTTTATCGCAACAAGTGATCATGTTGCCGATGGCTCTAGCAACAGGTGTCGATGCGTTCATTGGTTTACAAAGAGTGGGTACATATTTGGCATCTGGAGAAATCGATGAGGAAGCGAATAGAATCGAGGCAAGAGGCGAGATGTTGGCTTTAATGGAAAAGTCAAACACATCTATTGAAATTAGAAATGCTTCTTTCGAATGGGACACATTTGAAGACGAGGAAAGTTCGGCTGACGGTGAAAATAAAGAGGTTACTTCTAATTCTAGTGAGAACTCCGACTCTTCCAAGGAACTCACTCAAAGTCTTTCTAAATCCAATTCATCAGAAGAGATATCCTTTCCAGGATTGAGGGACATTAATTTGTCTATTAAAAAGGGGGAATTTATTGTTATCACCGGTTTGATAGGGTCAGGAAAATCGTCCTTATTAAGTGCTATGTCTGGATTTATGAGAAAGTCCTCTGGTGAGATTAATGTTAATGGTTCATTGTTATTATGTGGTTACCCTTGGGTTCAGAATGAAACCGTTAAGGAGAATATCTTATTTGGATGCGAATATGACGAAGAAAAGTATAAGAATGTTGTTTATGCCTGTTCTTTGGAGAGCGATTTAGAAATCTTACCTGCAGGTGATAATACAGAGATTGGTGAAAGAGGTATTACATTATCAGGTGGCCAAAAGGCAAGAATTAATTTAGCAAGGGCTGTTTATGCTGACAAGGATATTGTTTTGTTAGATGATGTTTTATCTGCAGTTGATGCAAGGGTAGGTAAGCATATTATGAACAATTGTATGCTAGGCTTACTTAAAGATAAAACAAGAATTTTGGCAACTCATCAGTTGTCACTAATTGGTACTGCTGATAGAATTGTCTTTTTGAATGGTGATGGTACTATTGATGTTGGAACGCTTGAAGACTTGAGTGCTAATAATGCCGATTTTAATAAATTGATGGCATTTAATAGTCAAACCAATGATAGCGAAGATGAAGACGAAGAAGAGGAATTAATCGACGATGAGGAAATTATAGAAAATGAAAAGGAGTTAATACATAGACAGTTATCTAAAACTCAGACACATAAATCGACTGCTAATGATGACGAGTCTGTTCAACGTGATTACAACAAAAATAATACCAAAGATGGTAAATTATTTGAAGAAGAGGAAAAGGCTGTGAATGGTATAAGTCTTGACGTTTACAAGAACTATATAAAGCATGGTTCAGGAATCTTCAAAAATTACGGTATCGTTCCAATTGTAATTTCAGCAGTTATACTTGCCACATTTTGCCAGTTGTTCACTAATACCTGGCTTTCTTTTTGGACTGAAAAAAGATTCCCTGACAGATCTGACAGGTTTTATATTGGGTTTTATGTAATGTTTACTATCTTGGCTTTTTTGTTTTTAACTCTTGAATTTGTTCTTTTGGCCTATATGACAAACAGAGCTTCCAGGTCTTTAAATGTTATTGCTGTGAATAAAGTATTGCATGCACCCATGTCATTTATGGATACGACTCCTATGGGAAGAATCTTGAATAGATTCACAAAAGATACTGATGTTTTAGATAATGAAATTGGGGATCAATTGAGATTGGTATTTTTCATGTTTTCAAATATTGTTGGTGTTTTGATTTTATGTATCTGTTATTTGCCATGGTTTGCAATTGCAGTACCGTTTTTGGTTTTCATCTTCGTCGCAGTGGCTAATTATTATCAATCATCGGCTAGAGAAATTAAAAGATTAGAAGCAGTTCAGAGATCTCATGTATACAACAACTTCAATGAAACTTTGAATGGTATGAACACTATTAAAGCATACAAAGCAGACAATAGGTTCTTGGAAAAAAATGATCGTTTAATCAATAAAATGAATGAAGCATATTACATTACAATAGCAAACCAGCGTTGGTTAGCTATTCATTTAGACATCGTTGCGTCGTTATTCGCGTTGCTTATTGCATTATTGTGTGTTAACAGAATTTTTAATATTAGTGCATCATCTGTCGGGTTATTATTATCATATGTATTACAAATAGCCGGTCAATTATCGATGCTTATAAGAACTTTCACTCAAGTGGAGAACGAAATGAATTCTGTTGAAAGAATTTGTAATTATGCATATAACTTACCAGAAGAAGCCCCTTATTTTATAACAGAGACTACACCACACCCAGAATGGCCACAAAAGGGTGGCATCAAATTTGACAAGGCATCTATGGCGTACAGACCAGGATTACCGCTCGTATTGAAAGACTTGAATTTAGATATTAAGCCCGCAGAAAAAGTTGGTATCTGTGGTAGAACAGGCGCGGGTAAGTCATCTATAATGACCGCTTTATATAGATTATCTGAGTTGGAATCAGGAAAAATTATGATCGATGACGTTGATATTTCACGCCTTGGTTTGAAAGATTTAAGATCATGCTTATCTATTATTCCTCAAGACCCAATATTATTCCGAGGTACGATTCGTACTAATTTAGATCCTTTTGAAGAACATCCAGACGAGAAATTATGGGATGCGTTAAGAAGATCTGGTTTAATTGATGATTTAAGAATGGTGAATATTCAAAAGCAAGATAAAGAAAATGATGTTTTAAACAAATTTCATTTAGATCAAGGAGTTGAAGATGAAGGTTCTAATTTTTCGCTTGGTGAAAGACAATTGATTGCATTTGCCAGAGCATTAGTCAGAGATTCTAAAATTTTAATTTTAGATGAAGCCACTTCATCGGTCGATTATGAGACAGATAGTAAGATTCAGAGTACGATTGTTAGAGAATTTGCTGACTGCACAATATTGTGTATTGCTCATAGGTTGAAAACAATTCTTCATTATGACAGGATTTTAGTTTTAGACAGGGGTGAAGTGAAGGAATTTGATACTCCATTGAATTTATTCAATATGGAAAACAGCATATTTCAACAAATGTGTCAAAGATCGAATATTGTACTTGATGATTTCAATCCTAAGGAACTGGTAAATAATAGTTCAAAATTTCAGATTCAAAATAGTTAGATAGTTAAAATAATAATTAGTAATTAATAATAATAGTTGATATATTTTATTTTATTCACCAGAGGTCAATTTTTATGTTATTGTTAGCAATAGTTGTTCTGGCATCAACACATATGTTCTTTATAGGGCAATGCCGAAGGCTCAAATACTTAAGATCCCGTGGTATTATAAAGTTAACATCTCTGATAAAATTATTTGACAAGTCCAAGCTGCATATACTATTAGGGAATATATGACCGGCTAGTAAGTTTAGTCTATTACTTCCTAAATTAAGCTCGTCTAAAGCGTTGGGAAAGAAGCCCCGTCTGATAAAAGTAATGTTATTATGTGATAGATCTAGTTTTCTTAACATGTAGGGAAGTTTCAAACCATCAAGATTAACGATCTTGTTATCTGATAGGTTCAATATTAAAATTGAAGATGGCAATTGTAGATTTTCAACAGACAGTAAATTTAAATGGTTTAAACATAATTCTTGGATAGAATCAAGAAACCTAATGTTGCCAAGGTCTAAGCTTTGATTTGGCAATGGGTAATAGATACCGTCAACTATGTTTAATCGACGAAGATCACTAAACACGGTTGAATGGCGGATTACACGATTCAAGAATGTAATATTTAAATCTTGAAAGTTTTGTTTGAACTCCTCAACTGTATCAAATGAAGGTGATACATTTAGCAATAAATTGATTTCACTCGTAATTTCCTTCATTTCGTTAGGAACTTCACTAAGATATTTACAGAGTTGCCTCATAACTTTATGAATAGATTCTACTGGATTTCTGTTTCCAAACACGTAATATACCCTTTTAGATCTCTTGACGTACGCCAAATGTGGAACGATCTCATTATATAGAATGAATTCTAATGGCCAGAATAAACTTCGGTCTACTTTATATGCTGGAATTATACTTTTCAATTCGTCTAACTCATGAAAATGATCCTTTGAATAGTTTGTGATAATAATTGATGAATAGAAAATATCATTTACAATTTGGAAAATACGATCATTTCTATTCGGAACTTCATTCAAAATGCTTAGTATTTTTGTCAAATCTTCTTGAACCATGAATTCGAATATGTTAGTCAATAGCTCATTTGGTAAATCGAAAAGACAACCAAGAGTTCTCCCACCACTACGTCTTGAGTTCCAAATTGGAACATTCTCTGAATTATTTTTCATTAACAAAGAATCATACCTCAATATATCAATATTTCGATACCTTTCATGGAATTACATAATTTAAGTAGTTGCTCTCAAAATATTTGCGACATACATATTTGATAATATCTACAGCTAGTTTATACAGGGAAGCGAGATTGTACCATTTCTAATAAATACTAAATAGTAGACTGTAGAAATTAAATTACTTCATTTTCTTTTTATAATCAGCAAATGATAATTTCTTCACTGTAGGAAGAGGTCGTGGTACTTCGCTAGCCTTGTCTTCTGTTGTATCAACAGTCGATAGTCCTGAATTCTCAGCTTTATTGCCCGCTGACTGTGTTGGAGTTACAACCGAATTTAGCGTAACAAACAGCGAGTTATTCGATTTAGAAAGGACTGGTTCGGCTTTAACATTGCTAGTAGTTTCCACTGCTTCAATATCTTCCTTAATTTCATTAATTGGCTGAATTTCCTTATCAAGGGTTTGACGTATTTTAACAACTAGTTCAGGCACAACTGGTACCGAAATTGACAGTAATTCGGACATTTTCTCAGGTACACTCTTCTCAACATCAGTTTTCATATCTGTGTCATGTTTTAACTCATCGCGTTCGACCTTTTTTATCAACCTCTTACCCTTAGCAATTAGCTGGTGTTTAAATGGAAGAGTAAAGAAGAGAGATGCATGATCATTTGAAGCCTCTGAATCATTAGAAATAGCAGTATCATGTTTTTGTTTAAGCGTACCATTATCTTCATTAGACTCTTGGTTATTCTCAGGGTTGTCACCTATTGGATCAACATTACCTTCATTGGTTGTAACATGCAAATCCATCTGAATAATTCTATCTCTCTCTACTAGCCTCTCTTCCCATGATACGAAATTTCTTTGTTTTTTCGGAATTATCAACTCCTCACGAGACTTTGAAAGATTAATGTTACTTATATTAGATGCTTTTCTTGTAGATCTTAAAAGATAGGAAGTGGCCTTTTTCACCTTGAATATCGCACATCCATTTTGTATTATCCCAGAACCGGCGGTACTGCACCCACATTCAACAAAATGAAGTATATTATCAATCGACGTTATTAAATATGCTTTGTCATGGTCAGAAAATTGTTCAAACTTGAGTGGTTCGACAGGATCTTGGGATTTCGAGTTTTTAGCGGCATTCATCCTTCTTATTGGGTGAAGGTAATCCCATTCCCAATCTAGCCTTAACTCCTCTTCATTTGTATTGGAAGACAATACAATTGGTTTAGATGTGACGACCAAGAGCCTAAAAGAGTTAGTTTCTGGAATGTAAATTGGCTTGATTTTGCAATTGCTTGTTGCTGGACATGCTTTTCTGATAAACCTCGATTCATTACCAACAAACCTCGAATCCGATACAATTTCTAATGATTCATTTTCTTCTTCGCTTGACAATATCTTCATATTAACCTTGAGAACTTTTGGCTTGGGAGTTCCAAAAGCCGAATATTGGTTTATTTGGTCATTTTTGTAATTATCGAACAAATCGATCTCGCCCAAGTATTCAATTATTGGTGTTTCTTGAGGTATGGTTATTTCTTTTTCATATTTAAGGGCTTTGTCTGTTATAAATACACCATACCTTGTAATGCCATTGAACTTTTGTTTCTGATTTTCGGCATATAATTTGACCTGGATAGATGTTCCATTACAGTTCTTTTGTTTTTTACGCAACTCTTTATTTTCCCGTAGATATGCATCTTGATTTGGTAGTACTATACTGCTGAATTTTAAATTCTTAAATTCATTGGATGCCATTACTTGTAGTGAACATAAGTCTTGTTCATTTTTGTTTAATTGACAAAATTTATTATAGAACTGAGTACCAATTTTATCTAGTAAAGACTTAACAGAAGTTTTCTTATAATCGTTACCTTTTAATTTATAATACACAGATTGGTATGGTTCTGCTGAAATCCCGTTATCTAGCAATTCATTACTCTTATTTGGTAAAAAATCAGTGGCAGAAACTATGGTATCATTAGTAGAATTATTCGTTTCCAGCTTTGCAAACGGCTTTTTGTCATCATTCTTCTCTTGATTATTGTCACTATGTTTCTCCGTTGATTTTCTTTTCTTTTTTTCTTCGTTTTTAGAATCAGAACTCAGATGCTTCCTCTTGTTTGATGGCTTAATATCTTCAGTTTGCTCGTTTTTATCAGATATTTTCTCAAGTTCCAACCTTTTCAAGGTACTCGACCTACACCGATCAGCGTCGAATTTGCCCCATTTTGCTTCATCACAATAATAACATTTATACTCATCTTCAGGAACTTCATCATTGGTTCCAAAATCCATACATAAGCAATGTTGCCAGCGAAAGCATACATCGCATTGTATAGTAAACCCATCATCATCTTCAATACCACATATACATCCTATAAGTCCCGCATCTGGATCCACTTGGTAAGAGGACAACGGTGGTGGTCTGAACTGTACTTTAGTAGAGATTTCAGGTTCAGCTTTAGTGGCTGATTCGGAGATTAAATTAGTTTTATCATCAGCTTCAATCGGCGTTGGAGTCAAGGTTTTTGAAGGTAACGTATGAAGTTTTTCTTCTTCCGCCTTTTTCTTAATATGTACTGTTTCCATATCATTATTGTTTATACCAGGAGATTTGACATCTGTGTTCGGTTTTGACTGCTGTTCGTCGTCTGTTTCATTTATATCTTCTTCCTCTGGTTCCGTCATAACTGATTCATCTGCTCGATTCTCAATCATGCTTTCATCCTTCACCAGCGATGAAGCCTCAGGCAACGATTTTTCAGGCTGCATTTCACTGTGCTGATTTACTGATTCTTCATTCTTTTTAATTAATGGCAAAGGAATATCAGCTGCAGCTGCTAGCGCAGCAGCTGCAATCATGGCATTATTATTATTCCGCTTACCGCTTTCAATATTAATTCCTCGTGACAAAGCAATACTTGCAGGACCTGGAGAATGGCTACTCAATATAGGTGGGCTTTGAGTCATTGACGTTGCCTCCATTCCCGGAGATGACAATGATCGCTTGTGTCCTTGCTGAACAAAATTACTATGTACTGGTAACCCTCGTTCATGATATTGAGCAGAGTCAGTTGGTTTCATCGCATGATCCGAAATAGATGACCTGGATGATTCAGGTAAAGATTTGGCATGTGAAGGAGGAGTTACTTTGCCTCCTGATGTTATGTATGTCTGCTGTAATTTAAATGTTTCCTGTATTCTATCCGTTTGAGGTGAGTTATTACCATTATATATATGATGCTGTGGTTGGTATGGCTGTGAATGATTAGGGATCTGCTGTTGTTGCAACGGCAGTTGAAGTTGTTGCCCAAAGGGTTGTTGTGGTGTTCTCAAAGGCTGAAACAGGCTCGGAGGCGATATTGATGAATGTTGAGACTGTGGATTCGATTGTAAAGTTGGGACTGGCATTTGTGAAGGTGGCGGTGTTGGTGATGCCTTATGTCCAAGCTGTTCTTGTTGTTGTTTAGCTGCCACATTAGCAAACATTAATAAAGTCGATGCATCTTGTAAAAGTTGTTCTTCCTCTTTGTTATTATTATTACTCATAATATTATCCTATAAATTAGCAAAGGTAACAACACCGACAAAATCGACCCTATGAGTATAAATATTAATGAATATAGAATAATAGAAAGCAAATATGAAGAAAAAACTTCATCTAACGACTGTTTTCCATATTTGCATAGGCCCTAGGATTATACAATAAATTGGTTTTGTGTAAGAACATTATACGACCGTATAAGTATAGACTACAACCTAGTTATAATATCAGGCAATTAGAAGATGTACCTATATGCTATTAAACACTATAAAGAATAAATATTTACAAGTTAATGTTAAAAAATGAGTCAAAACAAAGTAAAACTTCGAAAATTAGCATATGAGCAGGTAATATCCCAAAATTTTGTCTGGAAATTGTAGAACTATAGATCTCGTATGGCACGCTATGATTTGATGAAGCAAACGTCAGGTTATGCCATGGAAGAATAAAAATGTAAATGCAACAGGCTAGGAAGAGCAGAAAGAAGGACCCAGAAAAAGGACTTCATATTGTAAAGTGATGGCAGTAGCGAGGTGGAAGAACACCAACAGCACTATCACGTCAGTGTAGGACCAGCATCACCCTGGCCGCCTTCCTTGGCCTTCTTTAACTTATCAAGATACTCCAACTCCTTACGAAGACTATCCATCGCATAGTACACCTTGGATTGTAAATAGAATGAATTACCCTTTTCTTTTGAATTCACATCGAACAAGTACGCATATTTCTCGTCTACTTTATCAAGCGATAAGTCAGATTTCTTCAAATCTAAGATTTTGAGTGCTTCTTCGGTTGGAATACCGCCAACTGACGAGGATTTGGCAGCTCCACCTTGGGGTGTAGCGGCGGTGGCCTTGGCCGCCTGCTTGTATGCTTCAGTGAAAGCACGTCCAAAAACAGATGCACCGGTGAAGATGACATTAACTAATAATCTGTGAGCCATATTGTAAAGTCTTGTTGTAAATGTTGACTATATATTGGATATGCCAATCTTTAATCATCGTCTTACAAACGAACTTCGGAAGTGATTTCACTCAGAATCACGTAGTCACGTGATTTAATACCCGAAAAATTTTTTTAACGTTACTTTTACGCTAGGAATATAGGTAGCCTTCTGGCATTAGTTACCAGTATATGAAGTCGTTTCTACTCTAAGGGATGGTGGGAATAGCCCGAACTTCCAGAAGGTCAGTCAGAATCCAAAGGGATCTTCATCTGTCTACATGTCTACACCTCTAAACGAGCCTTACAAATGGATGCATGTAGCATCGTGCCTTAATCTGATCATAATCAATCGCATCCATAAATGGCTCCGATCTGCGTTACCAGAACTATACTTAGACACAAATGCACTAACTCTAAGAGACCGGAAACGAAGTGTTGATTGTGGCCAATCTGTTAAAAAGGTCAAAAAACACTTAGCTGATACGTAATACCCAATTCACACAAGCACTAATGTGGTGTACTTAGGATAAAACTAAGGTCTTTATGTAGTGTACTATAAATAGTACAAGTTATATATCTATTAAGAGATAGTATAACCACTACTGATGATACTGTTCAGACTAAGGGAGCATAGGGGAATAGGTAGTATTTATACTTCGGTATATGTCCGGGTAACAGATGAGAATTTTTTTAAGCGATGTCTGCGCTTATGACGGGTTTGTATCACGAAGCTTTAAGCGCTAGGGCTCTAAGTGAAGCCTGCACATAAGCTTCGACTAGTTTAAGAGGGCCATAATAAAGACTAAGAGATGAGATCAAAGGGTTATCAGTTGTATAGAACATGTCCAACACAGATTCAGATAAGGTTGATAACGTTTTGGGATGGCTAGAGAAGAATGCTTTTTGGAATGCTGATATTTTGAGTGTTGAAGAATCTAAAACTACTAGTGGAGTGGGCGTATTTCTTAAGACTGATAGTAGTGAAGATGAAGATAATTTATTACTTCGGATTCCTAAGGCCAATATTTTATCGTCTAAAAATACTTTTATTTGCAACTTACTCAATGACTTCAATGAGTTGTATTCGGGCAACCCTGATGTGAATTTGACCAAAGGCATGCATAGTGTAGTGATTTCATTTATCTATGAATTATATGCTGGCAAAAACTCACCATGGTTTGATTATGTTTCCACTATCGACCCAAAACAGGAAAATGACGAATTTTCCAATATTCCTATATGCTTATGGACAACAGAAGAGAAGGAAATGTTAAAAAATACCGAATGTGATTTATTGGGAATGCTTAACAGTGACGAATTGGTTCAATTCTATATTGAATGCATTCGATTCGCTCATATTAACGAAAAATATGCCGGTATGCCAGAGATATTTGATTTAGAACTACCATCAGACAGCAATGAATTGGAATCCTTTTTAACCAGGAAGCATTTCGAAAAGGTGGTTATGTTTGCAAAATATGTCCAAACCGTTATATCGAGAGCATTTGCAGTTGATGATTTCCACGGTCTCTCTTTAGTTCCTGGGGCTGATTTGTTCAATCATATTGTTCCTGTAATGCAACAACAAGATGAAACTTCCAAGATTCAAGGTAGAGAAAACGTTCATTTTGTTTGTGATGGAGACGATGTCTGCACGATTTGTGGAGAATCGAACTGTGAAAATCACGATGAAGATGAAGATGAAGAAGAAGAAATGATTGAAGAAATTGAGGAAGAAGAAGAAGAAGAAAACGATGGCATTGACGAACACGAAGAAGAAGATATGGAAGATGATGAAGACGGCTTAGTTGAAAACGATCTTGCTAGCTCGTCTGATTCAGAAGGAAGTGATGAAAATAATGAAAGTGACGAACATGATGAGAATCAAAGTGATCAAGAATCTGATACTGAGGAAATACCTGAAATATCTGAAATCACTATGGATTACATAAAAGAAATGGAAGACGAATTGGACGACGATGAAGATTCGGAAGCAGAAACAGCAAAAAGTGATGAAGAGGTTTCAACTTTATCTTTAAGTGAAGATGAGGCTGAAAGTATGCCAAATACTCAAACTGGACATTCAATGTCAGCAGAAGAAGAGTTGGCGGCCCAACTTTCAGACAGCTCACAATGTTGTGATATTGTATTAACAAACCCACCACTGGAAGAATACAAATACGAGCTATTCAATACATATGGTAACACCTTATCTAATCCATACTTATTACAGCGATATGGGTTTGTCAACGATTTTAAAGAACCAAATGTCAATGATTCGTGCCTTCTTTCGGTGCAGATGTTTTCATACTTGAAAAATTACAAAAAGAACAATTCGGGTATTAAGGTTAAACAGTTAGATGTAAAATTACAATGGTATGAGGAAATTGGATTTGATATTGTGAATGATTTAGTCAATGATTACGAAAGTGCTCATCAAAATGAAGATGATCATGAACACCATGGAGATCATGAACATGAGGATGGTGGCGGATGCTGTGATAATGAAGGCGAAGATGCTGAAATGACTGATAACACCACCCCAGAAACGTGGCAATTATCTCCAGTTGTTAGATACGACGGATCATTATCTCCTCAAACATATTCATTGTTGAAAATCATCTTAATGCCTTATAAATTATTTCAGTCAAAGTTAGTCAAGTGTGAAACTAATAGAAAATTATCTAGAAGAATATTACATTTACTACTTCCATATGAAAATACTTCGCAACACGAAGAAATTCATCAATTGATTAAAGATTGGTGCCAAAGTCGCTTATCAAGATATAATGACTATACTAGCATGAAGGCTTCTACAAAAGTAAGAGAGGAAATTATACATAACTTAATTAAGCAAGAACAATGTATCCTACAAAGAGTGATAAATAAATTATCATAGGTATCATTCTCACGCGCACTGTGTATTATAAATTAATTTGATAGCATAGAATAATATATATTAACATATACCTTTGGTAAAATTATTCAAATCGTAAATTGTATAGCATCAACAAAAATCTTGGTTTCCTTATCTAATGTCAGAAAGTGAAGATAACTTGAGTTTTGAATACGATGATGAGATTGCAGACGGCTCCGAATCAGATTTTTCATTTGAAGAAGAACTAGATTCTGAAGAGGAAGATATCCCAAATGATAATGACACTGATACTGATAACGAATCGATTCAGTTATTTAATAATACCAGCAGTTCTAATTTTCATCCTATAAAGCGAAATAGGGTTTCATACGAGCCTTGGAAATTAACCAGCTATATTCAAGAGTTCTTACTAGATAAGGCTATTACGTTGAAAAATATGCAGTTGCCACAGTGTGATCTCGATAGCATTATTATGATGCTTCATTTCAAAAACTGGCAATCGGAAGATGTTATCAATGCATTCTATGATGATTGGCCAAAACTTCGAGATTCTTGTGGTTTGACGGATCCAAACGAAAAGAATAATAATGTGGCAAAAGTTAAAGAATTTAACTGTTCAGTCTGTTGCGAAAAATATGAAATTACAGAGGTATATTCATTAAGCTGTGATCATGAGTTTTGTTTGAATTGCTATAGTGAATATGTAAGAGAAAATATTCATAATGGGCGAATAATACGTTGCATTAATGTTGAATGCAACTTGTCTATCACTCATGCTGATGTAGAAATGCTCTTTCAAAGTAAAGATGGGAAATTGGCTGAACCTATACTTGATATGACTAAAAATCATTTACTCGCAGCGGCGGCAAAGGCTTATATTGAAAGCCATAAACAAAAGTGGAAGTGGTGTCCTGCTCCCGATTGCACAAATCTTACAGAACTAGTTACAAGAAAACCTCCTAAAGCAGAAAATGTGAACGGTGAAGATGTGGATATTTTAAACGTTCCCATAGTTACTTGTCCAGAAAATCATGAGTTTTGCTACGATTGTCAATACGAGAACCATTTGCCTTGCCCCTGCTGGATTGTGAAATTATGGGTTAAGAAATGTCAAGACGATTCTGAAACCGCCAATTGGATCCAAGCTAATACACAAGGATGCCCTAAGTGTGGTTCGCTGATAGAGAAAAGCGGTGGGTGCAACCATATGACATGTTCTAAGTGCAGATACGAATTTTGCTGGATTTGCTTAGTCTCATGGAAAGAACATGGAACATCGTACTACAAATGTAATAGATTTGATCCCGAAGAGACGGATGCTGTTAAAAAGTTACAGCAGCTGAAAAGGCTTTCATTACAGAGATATTTGCATTTTTACAAACGTTTTTCGGTTCATGAATCTTCAATGAAGGGTGATCAGAAAATTATTGACAAAGTAGACAATAAAATGAAACTATATATGGAAGAAGAACTGAAAAAGAAAAATAAGTCCCAACAGAACCTCTCATGGATTGATGTTCAATTTTTGCACGATGCGATCAAAGCACTAACTAATGGCCGTAAGACCCTTAAATGGACATATTGTTTTGCATTCTATCTTTCAAAGACAAACTTCTCTGAAATATTTGAGCAGATGCAAGACTATTTGAATAAAACAGTTGAAGACTTGTCTTTAATCTTCGAAGAAGTCAATAGCAAAAGACATAAGACTCAAAATAGTATGATAATAATGAAACATAAACAAGAAATTGTCAATCTAAGTAATTTAGTTATCAAAAGACAGAAATTACTAATAGAATGTGCTTATAGTGGACTTAACCAGGGCCATCTAGTCTTTGAGGTAGTATAGCTATCAATGAAAAAAATTGCATCACGTGGTGATAAGAACCTCAGGTAACAAATCAAAATAAGGATTACGTTAATAAAACTTCAACTGGCCATTTTTCATTACCTATTTGTAAATAGACCCATGATAGAATAATAAATAACTGGATATCCACAAGTGTACTTTAATAAGCAAGGTAGATTTTTTAGGTTTTTATTACTTAAAATTAATTCAATTCCGTATACAATTTGTGCGGCTGATATTTGATTTATATGGATAATTATAGAGGAATTAACAAGGTGTGAAGCATATATATCAAAATGGATATGATTGAGGACCGGGATATACCTGGTCGAAGTAGAAACAGAGTTTTGGAGAACTATCGAAATGAGTCGAGGACGAGATCCAGTTCAACGCATAATACATTTGGTGCAAGGAAAGAGGGTAGTAGAACAAGAAGGACACCAACAACAGTACTGGCGGTACTTTATAGCAATATACCAAATGATACAAAAAACGAGAATGGCATAAAAGAGTCACATAATAGTAGTGAGAACATTAATTTGAGTCGACAGAGATTTTCACAATCCGTGATTTCCTCTGGTATGATGGTGTCGCCAGATTTGCAATGTCATCAACGAGCTAGGGAGAAGCATAAAATAAATGAAAGGGCTAGGAGAAGTAAATCTTCCAGCAATCGTAGGTCAGCTCAACAAAAGCGATTAGATAGGGATTACGGAAATGAAGAAATAGTTGATAATAGCATACAAAATGATTTGCCATTAGATAATTTAAACAAGAAATTAGAAGAGGATAATGAACAAGAGAGATTTCATAACTATGGTAACCCCGATAATTCCTTCCGTGGTTTGCAAAGTACCGAAAGTGCAGATATAAATAACATGCATTCAGATCTTTCTTTTGGTAGCGAAAACCGAACCAATGCAACAACACCTTCATCAGTCATAGCTTCTGCTGCCAATAAAATATATAATAAAATGAGTAAGCTTTTTGCCGGAGAACCTGATAGCTTGTATTCCCTATCACGAGTCTCGTCTTGTTATACTTTGAAAGGAAACGATCAGCTTAATGACAAAAAGCTTACGAGAAAAAACGGTCTGGATACAACAATAAGAACAGGAAGTCTAAAATATGAGAGTGAGCTGGATGATGAAGAAACTGAACTAGATGATGATCGTGAATCAGAGACTGCACAAGAAATAAATGCTAAACATGATACGGATAAAAGCAAAAATGTACTTAACAATATAAATGATGGTCGACGTGTTACAGCAAGCTCCATTAATTACAAAGATACTTTACAAGAAATTAAGGACTTCCAAAATAACTTCGTAAAAAAATATAATAATGCTACCCCTACTCCTATCGGAAACTCAAGTCAAAAAAATACGAGTAGAACTTTGCAAAAGATCTTAGACTATAAGGATTTATATTCTGAGGAGGAAGATTCTACCAACTCTACATCAAGTGGAAACCTAACATCAAAATGGAATCCATTAATACCAGGTAGTTCATCTTTCGAGTATGGGATCAAGATTCAGCACGAAGCTATTATGTCTGAGTATACACAAATCAAATTACGATTCTCTAGCTCTCTATCCGGATCATCCGCTGAAACTTATTCAATACCTAATGAGAAATCTCCATCCAATTTACAAATGAAATCAAAGGCAGGGGTTTTGGGGTTTATTGATAGGTCGAGGTATTTCAGAATGCAAGATAGTCATGAGAAAGAACATACCGTTGAAAACTCGGATGATACAGCAGATATCCCAGCAAGCCTCGATTTTCCGAATATAGATTCTGAGAATAAAGACGGCTATATTTCCAAACTTTGGAAGAGCGAAGTTGACCGTATATTTCCTACTCCAGATTCCATTCCTTCCACCACAGCATACGACACTCCTGACTTGGAACCTCCTAGGAAAATGAGCATAGACTTAGGTAGTGAAGATTGCGATATTTACGAAAATAGACCAAACCACGGCCACGCTGCTACAAAATCTATCGATCTCTCTCAAATGGCAAGGAATGTACGGTTCAAACGATATGCTTAGTTCTAGTAGTGCTATTTATTTATTTATATGTATATCATATTACATCTGTAATAAATGTATGGATATTTAACACGTGACTTGAATTGAAATCAAGCTTAAGTCTATTCGTATTTCGATCTATTATAGTTACAATACTATCATTAGGCTAACGAAATAATGAGTAAGCGATTCAATTTGCCATATACTACACAAGATTTATTTCCACAGGCATCAATTCCGTCCACTTCTCTGCGGTTTCCACAAGGATCGGTCTCAGGAGGATCGTTTATATCAACATCATCTTCTGTCTTTACCAACAACAATTCCAGCAATGATTACGCAGGGGGAAACGTACAAAACTTAAAAATAATGTTCAAGCGGTTGTTCAAGCCTACTACTCTTGATTTTGAGACTGCTATGTGGGAAATATTTCATTTAATAATTAATCCAAAAAAGATGTACAGATCACACTACTATTATAAACCTCTGTCGAATACTAAATCGACTTACTCAAGAGATGATCCCTCATTTTTGATATTATTAACGGCATTCCTTTCAATAAGTGCAATTGCATGGGGAATAGCTTATAGTCCTCGCATATGGGATATCGGTAAATTGATAGTCTACATGGTAATGATTGACTTTTATTTAAGTGGTATTGTCATTGCGACCATTTCATGGTTTGTGACGAATAAGTTATTCAATAATACGTATGGTAATATCGGAGGTGTCGGAAGATATAATGTTAACTATATCGAATGGGGGTTTTGTTTCGATATTCATTGCAATTCATTTTTGGTTATTTGGTGCGTTTTGTACGTATTGCAATTTATTTTGCTACCATTAATCAGAATCAAGAAATCAGTTTTCGCTTTGATATTGGGGAACTCTCTATATTTTGGGGCTATTGGCTATTATTTTGTAATAACATTTTATGGTTTTAATTCTTTGCCATTCATTAATAACAGTTCAACTATTTCCAAGGGCGGGGCTATGAACAACCCTGCTAAACTATTACAAATGATCATACTTGTTGGAATAATACCCACTCTTGTAGTTGGTTGGATTTTAAGTATCTGTTTTGGATTTAACGTTGCCTACACTATGGTTGATACATATTTTAATTAACCACATTAATGTTAGATATATAGTCCTAGTTAGATATGCAAAAAAGTTCATAAAGTATGAACAGTTTATAACTATAAGTCACTAAATCAATCACGTCAGCATATAGAGAATAAATCACCATTTGATTCATATTTGTGCCTTGAATTGATCTAATCTATCACCGGCGGCTTTAATTTTCATACCCGTTCTATTACTTAACTCATAGTCGCCATCACCGACGGATTCTGATTTTTTCAACCAGGCTTTACATTCTTCAATTGCCTCTTTAATATTTGCAGATTTTTTAGATGTCCGTAATAACCACACAAACATTGAACGCTCATAAAGGGCTGTAGGATAAAGGTATGGACTGTAAGTCATCTTTATAAATTTAAAAGGCATATTTGGTGAGTCCTGTGTAACATATTTAGATATGACATGTGAATCTAATAAGGCTACACCTTCAGAAACTCTATTCAACAGCCTAAGAGTAATACTTTGGAAGAAATATCTTATCATGGCTTCGTCTTCACTCTCTTCCAATTTTGCAAACTTCTGTTCATTATTGTTAGCAGAATAATCTGAGTTCATTGAACCAGAGTATCCCAATAAAGTCAATGTCAATTCAAGCTCATTTTTAGTCATTCTATTATAGCCATTCCAGAAATATACTAGCTCGTGTACTGGAGATGTACCAAAACAATCCAAAAACGACAATTCGGGGTACTTCTTTTGGCGCTTTTCAACGTGTTGAAGCTTTCTCAACAAGAACTTGTCAAAAGGCATTTGCTTATTACCACCACCAATTCCTCCTTTCTTATTGGTTGCATTAATTCCATGACCAGGAACATACGTTGGCGCCTTCTTGAGGTAAAGTTCTGCTTGGTCTGCATAATATTTTAGCGATTTCTCTCTATTTTCCACTTCTATCAACCCTAATTTAATCATTCTCCACTTTTCTAAATAACAACTTCCAGCAAAAAATAAATAGATACTCTTGGACCAAGAATTTATCTCAAGTAAGTATATGAAATCTCTTGCTGCTTCATCAAAATCATGCTTAAATGCATATAACATTGCCCTATCAAAGATAAGCAAGGCTTCAACTTGTTGCATATTTATTTTTGTCTGGGGATTGTCTGTAAATGATTGCATAAGGCTAGCAGCTTTCACTAATTGACCCTGAGCAGCAAGCATCCTACCTTCTTGTAACAACCATAAGGCATTATGAGGAAAATATCCCCTTGCCTTAGTTAATAACTGAGGCGTATATAAAGCAGGGTTTTTCAATATCATTTCGAGCTCCTCTTCAGAAATATTAGACTTTTTATCGATTGAAATCACATCAGTGACATTAGAATCCTCTTGTCCTGGTAGCTGGTATCCATCGTCTATAAACTGCACAGGGCCATCATAGAAAACCAACAAGCATAATAGAGCTAATTCACCATGGATATTTCTGCTCGTGATTGCTGTTCTCCAGAGCATTTTTAATCCTGTTACACGGTCACCCTTGAAACCAACAATCGACAAAACTTTACCAATAGTAGGCGGGATCAATGAAAGAACAACCTGTAGTATACCAAAACAAAGTTGGACTCCAGAATGTATATACTCATCAACAGTAGAGACGTGCATATGATTGTCCTCGTGGTCAGAATTCCTTAGAGATATAGATGACGAATTAGCGCCAGATATAACAGATTCAGCTTTGTCCAAAGTTTGGGAATTGTTCAAAGAGGACGATTTATGCGTCCGATGCGGAATGGAAAGATTTCCAAAACTATGGAAGGAATCTGATGCATCAGAAAATTCATCGTCATCATCATCATCAAACTCATCATCAGCAGACGAAGAATTTGGATTTCTAAATTTTGCATTTTGGGACAAGGTGTGTGTTCTAGGAGAATCAGGTCTTCCTCCTATTCCTCCTGTAACACTATTAGCGGCGGACACAACGGATGATGACAGCTCACTAGATGATGTGGTTGCATACATATTAACATTCTGCACCTGAGAAGGATCAATCAAACTCGTACCTTCAATACGAGACTTTCTCATTTGGTACACAGCCTCCAAATTTTTTAAGAGCTTGACATCTTGAGGTAAAGAAGCACTCGATCCACCTCTCAGAGATGGGCTACGGTACCCAGGTAAATCAACAGTGCTCACGCTAGCTGAGATACCCTCGTGTTGTAACAATGCCTCCTTCTTCAATTTAGCCAAATTCTTGTTGAAAATAGGCTCCAGTTCCTTGATCTTTTTGTAGATCGAATCCAACGTCTGGTACGCCTTCCGCAACTTGAACAACGCCTTCGCACCCTCCACAACCCCATTGCTCTCCTGCAACAACATAAGCAACGCATTCAACAACGTCAGTTCCGCATACGTCACCTGGAATTCTGTTCCCGGTGGATATATATGCGACGTCCCAAGCTGGTGTCTCACATTGTATTTCGCATTGTTCAAAGACGCCGTCTCTGCGTCCGATAGTGTCTGGTGTGCCCGTTCCATCACCTCCGGCTCAAATCCTAATGTGGCCTCAATGAACTCCATCACTCCTAGTGCCAATGGAAATATCGCCGCCGGCTGCTCACTTTCCGCCTTTTCGTGTTTATTCAGTTGCTCCTGTAAGAGATCTATTCCCTCTTGCGTTCTATCATCTAACAAATAATCCATCGCCTTAAACGCAATTTCGAAATCATGAACCTGCTTAAGAATCTTATCATATGAAGACGGATCATTAGCTGTTCCGCTTGGGCGGGAAGGTTGTGAATACAACAGCAAAGCAGATGCCTTTTTCCTTAAACCTTTGAACATATTTAATGTTAATAAAGAGACTTTCCTGCCTGCTTTTCTATTGATAAAAAGACCTGATCTAATGGTTAAAGGTTGATCAAATGTAGTGGATCAACGCGCTAATTCCGATAACATCACGTTTGGCTGCAACCTGCAAAATAAATATGTTTTACAGTTTATGTCAAAAATTCTCAATTACTGCAAAAACGCTCGATGGCTGGCTAATAGACACTGCTGGATCAAAGTCCATAAATCGACGATTTATCGCTTGCCTGTTTCTGAAAACAGAAATTTTGGAAGGACCAGATCATTAAAGCTGGATATAAACTATTTGAGAACAAGATTTGTAGGGGAATCAGCCATGCTGGTAAAAGCTGGCTATTGTAGCTGATCGCTATAAAAGGAGACAGATCTCGGTTGATTCGAATGATCTGTTCTATTATTTTAAGTGTACTTTCGCTAAACTATCCACTCTTTAAAAAAAGCTTTAAGGTTTTAATCCAGTCGCTCTTTACCACTAGAAACCAACTACTATACATTCTTTAAATATAATTCGAAATGAAGCTTAACTCGTACTTAAAATTGGCATCGTATGCCGCATTATTCTCCATGTCACAAGCTGCTCCAGCGTTGATAACGAGAACACATACTGCTCCAGCAGTTACACATTGGGTTACATACACGAGTAATACTGTTGTTAAAGTTGTTACGGTGCAGGATACCGTGAATCACACCCCACCAGCTGCTGCTGCTGCTGCTGCTCCTACTCCAGAAGCCGGTCAAGACGACCAACAAAATGAGGCTACTACTTCTACTCAAGCTGATGAACAAACACAAAATACTACTCCAGCTACCAGCCCACAAACTACCCCAGAAACTACTCAACAGACTACTCAACAGACTACTCAAGAGACTACTCAACAAACTACTCAACAGACTACTCAAGAGACTACTCAACAAACTACTCAAGATAACGCACAAACCACACCACAAACCACCCAAGATAACGCAGAAACCACTCAACAAGCCACTACTCAAACCACCCAAGATAACACACAACAAACTACTTCTACCGAGCCAACTTCCACTCCTACTACTTTGAGCACTTCAAGCACTTCCAGTACCTCCAGTACCTCGACTGATTCAACTTCCACTTCCGGATCCACCGCTTCCTCCGGCTTCGAAGCTGATATTTTGAATGCACACAATGAAAAGAGAGCCCTTCATGGTGTTCAATCTTTAGCATGGAATGATACTTTAGCCAAATACGCTGCCGAATATGCTGCTTCGACATTCTCATGTAACAACGTTAAATTAGTCCACTCAAACGGCCCATATGGTGAAAACTTAGCTGCTGGTTACTCTGGTGGTAGCAAGCCAGTCGAAGCTTGGTACAACGAAATTAAGCAATATGACTTCAGCAACCCTGGTTTCAATGAAGCCACTGGTCACTTCACTCAATTAGTCTGGAAATCAACCAGTCAAGTCGGTTGTGCTAAAGTTACTTGTGACAATTCTTGGAGTCAATACACAATTTGTGAATACTCTAACACTAGAGGTAATGTCGTGGGTACTGACTCCAAGACAGGGAAGAGTTACTTTGCCGAAAACGTTTTAGAACCAGTTAGTTAATTCGTTTAACTAATTAATTTATGTTAATAATTATGTACTTTATTTGTTTATTATAGCTTGCTTTTACTTCAATGTATAAGAAAATATCGCCTGATTTCCTGAATAATTTAGACTTTGTAGTTTAGCTAAATCAAGCAGACTTTTATACTACAATATGCCATGCCCTATGAATTAACTCCACCAGTTTATAAATTATTTTATAATTAGTAAAACAATCGATAGATGTGAGTCTGGTTATCGTTAGACTAATGAGTCGTTGAGTAATCAACTGAAGTTACTCTATAAAAAATAAAAATTAGCTAAGAAAATTGTTTATATTAGGAGTAGCTTCAATATACAATACTATAAATATAAATTTTCTTTCTTCACATCTCAAATCTTATAAACTAGGTATTGAACAATATTAATTATTCAGTACATTTAGTTCTTTAAGACATCAGAGAATTGACCCTTAGATGGCTTAGCCTTGGATTGAGAAACCTTAGCAGAACCTAACTTTTCAGCAGAGAAAGCCTTGGCGTAAGGGTTTAATCTTAATAAGACTTGCTTGTTCTTTAATGGGTTCTTCTTTAAGACGTGAGTTCTCTTTTGGGTTGGTTGACCGGCTGGTCTAACAACAGCTTGGACTTCAGCAGAGTTGATTAATCTGGTGACATCGGTGTTAGAGATGATGTTAGCTGGTAAAGTGTAACCAGACTTGATAGACTTGGTGGAGTCAGAACCGTAGACAGAGTCTAAGGATTCGAAAGCACCTTGAGTCCAGATAACGAATCTACCTAAGTGAGCACCTGGGGCTAATTGTAATAAACCTAAGTGCTTAACGTCAGAGGTTTCAACACCTGGAACGTTTCTTAAGGCCTTGGTGATACCGTTGTCTTGAGCGTAGACGACTAATGGACCTCTTCTTTGAGTGAATCTTCTACCTCTCAATTTACCCTTACCGGCTCTCAATTTCTTGGACTTGATGACCTTGATGACATCCTTGTGAGCACCAACGGCCTTTAAGACAGCAACAGCGTCCTTGGTCTTGGTGACGGATTCGAATTCGTTAGCAACAACCAATGGTAATTCCTTAACTTGTTCGACTCTGTGACCTCTAGCTAAAACTAAAGAGGTGACGGCAGAAGCAGCGATGGCAGAGGCAGTAGCATAACGTTTTTCGTTATGGTTAACCTTGACGTGCCATTTTCTCCAGGTCTTGGTTGGAGCGAACATACGACCACCACGACACATGTTACCGAAAGCAGCTTGACCAGAACGGTGGGTACCACCACCACCAACTCTTGGAATTCTGGCAACAGCTCTACCGGTACCCCATGATTCAGCGGAGGTTTGGTGACCGGCCTTGTCAGAAACAGCGTAAGCTTGTCTCTTGTTCTTGTTAACTCTAACAAAAACAGAGTGGACAATGTCTGGTCTGACTGGAGCAGAGAAGACAGCTGGTAATGGTAATTGGGTGGAGGTTTGTTTACCTTCAGCGGAAATAACAGAAACTTGTGGACGAGCAGACATCTTTAACAATATGTATGTGATAATAAAGATTAAAATAAACTATAATAAAACTTTTCACTTGTGAAAAATTTACTAAGGGTAATTGAAAATTTTCATCGAGAAGAAGTCGTGCGAGTGTACAATTTCTGAGATATGTCCCTGGTAGTTACCCGCACTTATAGATATGCAACATAAGCATCTGTACTGGTTCTTGCACGGTCTATGTGAAGAACAGAGACATTGATCTAGTTTCACAACGAAGATTGTCTTTCAGGAAGGTACTGATTAAAGGAATGTCATTGTGGAATAGATGTCTGAGTAGTCTTCATAAAAGCTGGTTTGTTTATAGTTATCAATTCTACTAAATTTGAAAAGTAGCATAAGCCCTAAGGTATTATTTCATGTTACTGAGTAATTGATGGAATATGAACGTAATAAGTAGTCTAGCCGGTCGTATTACATTTTCACAATCAATTTGATTGTACTTTTTCGCTACAATATCTACACCTTAAATTCCCACTTTTAACTAATGTAAATCATGCAAACACATCATCTAAAGCAAGAAGGTCTTGCTGCTCCAGTCCACAGTCATAATTATTAACTCTGGGCTTAGCTAGCGCAAAATCAATGATATATACATGGCCTTCTTTTGTACAGAGAATATTATCTTCTCTGATATCCCTGTGTATTATTCCGTTCCGGTGAATCACCTCCAACTGCTTCTTGGCTTTCTCGTATGTTTCCTGGACCTTCGGTAACGGGATTTTCTCGATGTATCGAAATATGTTGAAGTACCCTTTCGCAACATACAGTTTGTCCATGGTAACCATGATTTTCCCCATTTTCTGACGTACGTAGCAACTATTGAATTCAGGATCTCTGGACAAGATAGAATAACACACCTTTTCGGTGCGGTACCATTCATAACAAATGTCTTCCTTTTCTTGGAGAGTATAACCTTTAAATTCATATAGGTTAGCCATGCGCGGGTCGTACACCTTAGCAACTAAAGTCTGGATGTCATCGATCTGTTCTAACAAAAATTCCTTGAAGTAAGTAGCTCCTAGTTTAACTAATTGTGTATTAAACGCATCTGAATTCTGCATTAACACGTAGCTGCTGCTGTTACTGGGCACGTTGATAGATATTTCGCCAGCGTTTGCTTCGTCTTCGCTTGTTTCATCAACAGTTTCTAGCACGGACATGTTAGTACTTCTAGTGCTGGGGAGGCTTCGAGAACCCTCTGACAGATCCTGACTCTCCTCACTCAAAATGGCGTCTGACAATGTTTCCCCAGATAGCTTTAGATGTTCTTCTAATTTGTGAACCCTTTTTTGTTTGATTACCATCTTTGAATCCTCCTCTACTGAATTATAGATGTATGCCAATAATGATTCTCGCAAATTAGGTTTCGCTGAGTGGCAGTCTCGAATCAGATACTTGATTGGAACTACTTTCTGCTTATTGTCCGTTTTCACTGGTCTCAGATTGTGGACATTCCGTTCGAAAGAATCAAGGTCTAATTCCACAAACACAACGGTGTAAGAGTCTGTAAGAATACCTTTATCAGTCTTGAAGTAAAGCATCTCGCATATCAACTGTTTCATTATTTCCTTTTGATGAGAGAATAGGCTTCTTTCGTATTCACACATTGGGAGGGATAAAACCAACCTGAAAAATCTCTTCATTTGTTGTGGATAGCCTTGCCCTAACTTAAATACAAACCTTTGATATTGACATTGTACACGTCTAGTAAAATCTTCTACTTCCAGTCTCTCTACCTTAAACAACTCTTGAATTACCATTCTATAATTCACTATTGTTTCCCCCCATCCTGGAAAGAAATTTTGATAATCGTACATTTCTCTTTCATCTTTAACACATTTACACATAGCAAGATACAATGGATCCTGCAAAACCAGTTCTCTGAAATACTCATTCATAGTTACTTCATCGTGCTTGAATTATTAAACACTGCCATACTATCTTCCTTATATATTCCTTCTATGTTGAATCTGAATCATGTTATGCTACATATAATATGCACCACCAGATTGCCGCATAGGTTCCAAACAGTCGTAGTTATTGGATTGTCTACTACTGCTTCCTATTTGGGTTGGGTTGAGTGCATAGCTCCAGAAACGAAAGATTGTGCTGATGCTCCTTCCGGATTTATTGAGCTTGGGATGAAAAGAAGTCAAAAGATGAATTACATCCTTCCGTACTTGGAAAATGCAAATGTAACTACACCTTCCTTCGGAGAAATGACTGGAGATTTTAATCTTATCTCAATTCTAAGTCTTCGAATTCGCCGATAAGTTCATACATTCATCGCAGAAATTGAGTAAAGAACCTTTTAAATGAAGTTAAGATGGCTGCAAACAATATATACTAAATTTTGAACCATATATGTTACGCAAGCGAATATTTGTGTTTTAGTGATATGCGTAGATGCTCTTCGGGTTGAATTTCCCTCTTCTTGAAAGGAAGAATAAAATGACGGAATCATATACGACGAATCTACTGTCTATTTTCAAGATTTAGTGAATTGGCAGATATTGCGGCCATTCCAGAAATGGAAGGCTCAGGAAGTATAGAGGATTTTCTAACACGGTCATCTGCGAAGACAGCTTCGTAAGGTTTAGAGACTGTAATTCATCAGTTCGATTCCTTTTACTCCATTGTGAGCTTGGAGATTAATTAAAAAAAAATTACGTTATAATTTAAGTAGATACCCATTCTTTCCAAATTAACCCGAAATATTCGCTAATATTTATATCTATCTTTTTGTATTATTAAATTCATCTACCGAGTTCTTCGACAGTTGGACCGTCAGCAAAAGCATCTGGAGCGGTACCACCTGGAGCACCTCGAAAACCTTCTACAGGTATTGAACGACTAACCATTTGTAGCATACCAGCGTCGATCATGCTTGGCTAGTATGATATGGCAATGGCCAGTACTGTGAGAGGATGAAGACTTGATCAACGTACTAAAATGGAAGGATGTGCTATGCAAGTGTAACACATAGGTAGGTAGAATTTAGACCTAGGATAAAGACTCTTTGTTTGGAGAATCCAACAAAACAAGCAGTAACATTAATGCTAACTGAATTCATTATATTTCTAGAACGAGCAGCGTTTTAATTGTAAGGTTTTTTTGAAATATCATATTCTACGACTATATACTAGCTATAAAGTAGTAGATGAGAGTCAATATTACGATAGAAGCCATTGTATTGAGGCATGATTAAAAAAAACAATCGACGAATAGTATATAACCGTGACTTGAAATGTATTTGAAATAAAAGTAGCGTCAGGAGTAAGAATAGGAATGCAAATGGTTATATTATAGAAAGTCGGACTTAATAGGCAATTAGGTGGATTATTCAGACTATTGAAGTACATTTTGCCGTGCTGCAGTCAGTCTAGTCATGTCTGAATCAATAAATTAGCACATAAAAATAGATGCCTTGCGATTAAAGTTGCCTAACAGCACGAGCTTTGTTGCTGTTGTTGTCTCGCTGCTCTTCCCAAATCAACACCGCCCGATCTCCTGTTGCCAGGCTGTCTGCTTCTATTAGCAGACCCGTTAATGACCTCTTCTACCGGTAAGGCCCTTGCGACCTTCGTAAATATGTCAACAACCCCATCTCCTGATTTGGCAGAACATTCAGCTGCAACCACTTTGCTGTCTTCTTGGTTTAATTCATCGATATATTGGGTTACCTCTCTTTCGTCGACCTCTCTACTTTCTTCCAAATCTGCTTTGTTACCCACCAAGCAGATCACAATACCCTCAGGCGCTTGCTTCTTCAATTCCTTTATCCAGTCTTGGGCCTTGGTGAAGGACGAGCGGCTGGTTATGTCGTATACACACAAAGCAGCATTGGCATTTCTATAATACATTGGAGCAAGCGATTTGTAACGTTCCTGGCCAGCAGTATCCCATATCTCGAATTTGACCGTTGTATTGTTCTCTGGCAATGTAATTGATTGAGTTAAGAAAGCTGCTCCAATAGTGGACTCTCTCATATTATCAAACGTGTTCTTAACGAACCGATGGACTATTGATGATTTCCCAACTGCACTTTCTCCAAGGAGAACTAGCTTAAATTGGGCAAAACGATTGCTCGAGCTATTTGCCGATCCAGTAGTAGACATCCTAACTGACTAGTGAATATATAATCTATCCCGATCTAACGAATATTTAAGTTGATGCCTTAAAGACCCTAATTGCCATTAGTATTAATCTGCTGGCTGTGTGCTCATGGATTCTTACACGACACTTTTGCGTCACTTTCTACGTACTGGCTACACTAATTGGAAATAGTTCAGTATATATTCACATTATTTACAAGATCGTAGACCATAGTATATGTAGCATTGCCTACGCTGGAGACAACTGAAGGATCGATAAAAATTACAAATTGAGTATACGGCCTTGACCATAAAAGCCAAAAAGCACAAATTTTTACCAGCTCACTTAGTTTTCTTCAATCTTGGCTAAGATTTCCTTATCAGTGTACAATAAGTATTCTTCGTCACCAACCTTGACTGGGTTACCACCGAATGAAGGTAATAAAACTTTGTCACCAGCCTTAACCGAAGTTGGGATAACAGAACCAGTAGTGGTGTTAGTGATACCTGGACCGGCAGCAATGACGGTAGCTTGGTTCAATTTTTCTTGGTTCTTTTCTGGAATGTAGATACCGGAAGCGGTCTTGGTGGCCGGCTTTAATCTTTGGACCAAGACTCTGTCAAATAATGGCTTTAATGATTGTGCGCTTTTCAATAAGGAGGACTGAACTGAGGTTAGTAAATTATTGCAGGAAAAATCTCGGAAGCGAGTAGAAACTCTTTCTTATGGAGATACTTACCATTTTGCTGTAGATTGGTGTGTTTTCAATTATTTCAATTGCTAATGGTTCTTGAATATATACTTCGGAAATTGGTTCTGGTAGAAAGAAAAAGAATATTCTTCATTTTGTGTTTTGCACGTCTTTTATCTCCAGACGAATCATATACGGGCAGATAGACACCAGTTCCTACATTTTGCAGCTATTAAAATTACGATATACATTAAGAACTAGAATTAGTTCAAGTATCTATCTAAAGGTTCGCCTAAAACGTTTTCGATGACACGCACAAGGCCATTTCTCACTTCTAATTCGACTTCTTCATCATCATCTTCTAATAATTCGGCAATATATGGGATTAATGTAGGTAAGTAAGACAACCATTGTTCGCCCATTTTTTGGAAGATTGTCTTCAAGGTTCTGATGGTCCAGATCTTTGTGTTGGAGGTTGTAGAGGCGTTTTCGTTAGAGATGAACTCGATCAAACCGTGCACCAATTTTTCGTTGTACTCTTCGGACGAGACGTTGGAAATGAATGATGACACACACTTGACGAGATACTTACCAATGTTAGGCTCGATATTCGATAATTGGTTCAACAATGGTTTGCAGATACTTTCAAATCTCAGTTGTTGTGACCAGTAGTCATCTTGGTCATATTTGAAAGATGAGGTTAATGAATTCAATAAGATTCTTCTCAAGTTGATATCAACAATATCGCCATTGGCAAATCTGTCCAAGATCGATGAGACTGGATCTATCAAGTAGGAAAAATATGAAGTGATGATGCTCTTCAATTTATCTTGCAACTTACTGAAGAATCTGAAGAATGCCAACAATCTAGACAACTCAGTGTTACCCGTTGCATTCGAACCTTCGCCACTAATAGCCCATCTAACTAAGTTAGCAAATAATGGACGGAAACTCTTGTCGTTCAATTTCATGACATAGCTGACACCACACGAGTGGAAAGAGCTTTCTAATCTGTGAATGGTGTTATTATCAAACTTGTTGTTTTCATCAAAAGCGTAATGTCTGAATTCGAATGCTTGGATCAACCACTTCATGAATAAAGTTGATTGAGATGAAGCAGATTTCTTATCCATATTTTCAATAGTTGATTGTAATACATTCAAGTAAAGACCAAGATTGCCAGCATTATCATTTTGATAAAACTTCTTGTTATTCCAAATATTACACAACGATTTCAAGACTTGCGATAAGTCCATATGCTCAACAATCAACAGTAATACACTTGACCTAACAGTATTATCCACCATGTCACTAGTTAAAATTGTGATAAAAATAGAATCCAAGCTTGTAGTCATAAAAGCAGGTATCTTTTTAATCAAGCAGGCGAGCAATAATATAATAGAAGCTTGCAAAAGCTTAGAACTCTCATCATCAGAACCAGTAGTCTTTTTCCAAATGTTTAGCGATGGTGGGACAATCTTTGGAAATAAGCCAATAGCTTTGACACCTAAAACGTTAACAATACTTGTAATAGCGTTGATAGATGAAATGACAATTTCGGGTTGTTCACTTAATAATCCGCTGTTTGAAGTAATAATGTTCAAAGAATTTATCAAGGCTTCAGTATTATCTTGAGTTAACAAGACATTAGTCGAACCACCAAACTTGTTAACAATGCTGGAAAACGAATTCAAATAAGATTGTTGTAACTCAACATCCAAATTCTTTCCAATTCCTTTATTTAATACTGGTAACAATTTATGAAGTATACTTTCCTCGATAACATTATCAATATTATTAGCATTTAACTCATTTTCAATCTTTCTGCTCGTCAAAATAGCAAAATTTTTAGCAATCTTAATTTCTAATGTGTTTGAGATCTGATCGCAATCTAATGAATCAATAATCGAATCAATGAAATAATTTAATGGTAACAAATCTAAGAAATTACCCAACAATGTGTATAAATTGTCAAGTATAATATCGTTCTTAGAAACATTTGTGAATGTATCTAAGCTAGATAAGATGAATGAAGTAACCTTTCTGAAGCAGCTCAAGAGATCTGTCTTATATTCTAAAGGCTTTTTGGTGTCTAACAAGATTAAGGCGATCTTTAATTTCAAAGATGGCAAGTTGCTAAAATCATTTTGAATATCAGAGTCTAAAACTTTATCAATAAAACTCAATAATTGACTTTTGAAAGTCAACAAACCGCTCTTCGATAAAGATAAAATTGAAACTCCAAAAATGGACCTCGAACTCAAGGAATTGAATTCATCACTATTTGGCTCCAATTGAGTATTTGGAACTTGATTCCATAACTGGTAGAACTTCTCGACACCTTCTAATTGCTCCTGAGCTGAAAAGTTTTTCAAGAATGCAGAGGTGAATTCCAAAATTGAATTACTTTCATGTGCTTTATTCCTTGTTATGTTATTAGAATATTGTTGGCCCATTAAGAACAAAATAATATGCAAAGAATGCTTGTAACTTAAAGTTTTGGTCAACGATGTAAATAATTTGACACGACGATGTCTTGGAATATGTTGAAATGCTGCGACAAAACTAGTTAATAAAAATTCAATCTCATAGCTTAAGCTGGATGAACCATTTGCAGCCAATGCAGGGATAACCTTAGCAATGGTTTGCTGGAGAGCAGAGCTAGAGAATTCGTCATCCTGTCTAACAGTATGAGCACCCATGAAAGTGAAAATTGGCATCACAGAATGCAAAATTATCTCAGGAGCAAGGGCAGCTAATTCAGCTATGACTAACAACAATCTGTTTTGTACTTGAGGCGATTGAGATAATCTAATTGAGTTAACAATTAAGTCAGCTCTTACGACATTAGAGTCAAATTTGAAATTATTCGACTTAGAATTTTCTTTCATCTGTACGACGCTCAAAAGCATACACGACGCTAAGGTTTCTTGGGCGTATAGAATTGGCAAATTACCATCATTTCCCAAGTAATCCAAATCAGTTAAGATTTTGAACAAATTTTGAAGTAAATCAGGTTGTGCAATATCCGAACTCTTCTTTCTTAAATTGAATTCTAAAAGATCTAAAACAATTGTCAATTTTCTCAAGTGAGTAGAAGCAATGCTACTGATATCATCTCTGGCCATGGCTTGTTTGGTCGAATTAGAAGATCTTCTTCTTCTCTTAACTATTCCCTGTTCAGGAATTTGAGAAACAATTTGAACATTTTTTAAAGCGGAAACAATTGTTTCATGGTCCATATCTAACGATTGTAATACTTCCACAGGATCAACTTCTAAATCGTCACTTTCATCTCCATCATTAATTAACAATTCAATCAATTTATTAACTAATTTCGCCCTTATATCAATAGAGGTAAAACAAGTAAATATACTGCTTAGTCTCTTACCTGCCAAAACTTGTAAATTATTTGAAGTTTCAAGTGCTTTCAAAATCCAATCGGTTTCCTTATTGACATTCTTATCATTAGAAGACACACCGCCTACTAAGCCCACAATTACTTTCTCTACGTCATTTTCAAAATCAATCTTTGAAGTTTTGGCTTGAGAAATCATGTCATCTCTATTGGAGAAGTATTCGGCTAAATCGGTATCAATGAAAAAGAATCTATCGTCGTTTCCTCTATTTGTATTGTTTTCAATGTTCATTATATTCCACACTTTATATTTCAAAACAAGAGGCCAAAATGGAAGAGCCCATTGATTCAAGATAAATGTTTTCAAGAGTAATTGGCCAAATTTCTTTTGACCTGACTTCTGGCTTTTAAATAACACTTGGAAAAGCACGTAATTTAAGCGAGATTTATCAATCACAGCATCATCTAGCAAAGACTTAGAATCTTCAAACAAAATATTTAACATTTCTAATCCATCCTGAGGTGGAATAATAGCACGCTTGCTAGGTTCTGTATTACCATAAATCTGGTCTTCCATAAACAAGGAGGTTTTGGTTTTCTTCTTGCTGCTATGATATTTATCAGTTGTATCTTTGACTACTCTTAACAACTCTGCAAAACCTGCTCTGACCGATTTATTTGCATTAGACAACCCCAAAAATAAAATAGGAGCAAGTAGGTATGTATCGACTTTATTTTCAGATAATGACAATTCTTTCAATCTTAATTTGATGAAACGTAAAACTAAAAGTCTTATTGATAAAGGTACTGATGGAGTGAATGAAGCTCTTAACATAAATGAAATAGACGACTCAGGAGAGGAAAAGACAACCTTTGAGAATCTTGCGAGTATCAATCTTTGTGATTTGATATTAAACGAACGAGACTTTTCTGCAAATGTTTGAAATAATTTTGTAAATTCTTCATCTGATGCTTTGTTTAAAAATGAGGTGGTAGATGTCTTGTAACTTTCCAAGCTATTATATACCTCTGAAAAGTCAACGTCATTGACTGTTTGTTCTTCTTCTTCATCATCATCTTCTAATTCGATGTCTGCATCATGAATATTTTCAACATTAGAGTCACCTAAAGTAGTCATAAGCTGCATTTCTAACTGTGATATGTCTAAGCCACTTTTATATGTGTGTAAAACATTAGCAAGCAATTCTTTGTTAACCTTTAACAAAGATTCAAAAGCATCAATTAATTTCGTCCTCAAGATCTCGCTTTGATTGTCGTATGCATGATGTAAAAGCTTTTTAGTTACAATCTTGAAAAAAGTTTCAGAATTATTTAATTTAATAAATTCTAAAATTCTAAATGCATCGGTTTGTGGTAAGCTAGATACAAAATAAACCACTAAGAATTTATTGATCTTATACCCCTCTTCTATTAAG